TCTCACCGCCCCTGATCATCTCTCACATCAATGTTTCTTTCTCTCTCTCTCTCTCTCTCTCTCTGGAAAGCAGTGGGAAAAATATTCTCGGGTGAGGCTTAACAAACAAAAAGGAGAGAGAGAGAGGATTTGGATGTCCTGGCCTGAGAAGCCCAAGGTCAGTGTGGCTGAGCAGAGGCTAGACAAGCACCTACCCAGAATGCCTCACTCACTCAGCACGGATGCAGTTAGTGCCTCGCAGGAGCCGGCATCGCTGCCAAGCCCACCACCACACCCTCGTTCTGGCTTCCTTACAGCACTCACACGACCGAGTTCTTTGATGTCCTTTTCCCACACCCTCCCCACTAGATCGTGAGCCCATGAGCTCAGGGACCTCGTCTGCTTTGTTCTTGCAAATCCCGTGCCCAGCCCAGGGCCTGACTCCGCGGGTGCTCAGTGCATGTCTGCCAGCAACCACCCTGGGTGCTCACCTGGGAAATATGTATCTAATAGAACCCGCTGGAGAGTGAGAGTTCCAGGACAAGGGGAGGGCTTAGGGAGAGGAGGGAGCCCGCGGTGAGGCATCCTCTCGGGGAAGAGGGGAGGGAGCCCGAGGCGAGTGCACCCTCTGGGGGAGCTTGGCCACCTTTCCAGTTCACACGGGCTCACTTCCCACTCACCGTGGGCGACCTCCTGCGGTTCTCCAGCTCGGCTGCCAGGAAGCACTCCTTCAGGATGCCGTTTCTCGACCTGCACAGCACCTGCCGCAGAGAGAAATGAGTCCCGTGCGCGCCGTCCCAGACACCGCGACGGTGAAAGGTTTGTACAGACGCCTCAGTGTCTGTTCCAGCCCTGACACGCTGGCTTCTGACTCGATGCCTGGAGAGGAAATTCCTGAACAAATCTGCCCCAAAATCAGTGTCGTGGGGGTGTCTCAGACCCATCAGAAACACGCTGGTCCCGTTTCAGACTGACCTCTTTCAGGTGCCTGTACAGGAGATCACTGTTCTTTTCCAAGAATCCTGCAAAACATTGAGTAAGGAGTGTTGGAATCAGCGGCTTTGCCGGAAAATGCAATTCCATCCCAACCGATCGCAAAGGGAAATCCTAAAGACAATCTCACGGTGAGACAGGCCTCAGCCTGGACACTGGGACAGCGGGGGCTGGATAACTCTCTGTGGTGGGACCCTCTGTGCCGTGTGGGGTGCTGAGCAGCCTCCCTGGCCTCCACCACAAGGTGCCAGTGGCAGCTTCTCCACTTGTGGCAACCGAATGTCTCTAGACACTGTGAGACGTCCCCGGGGCACATCGAGAGAACCAGGTCCTCAATGCCGACCTCATGGTACACACGCTCCATTCTATATCCCCATGAGCTGCCACGGGAAGGAGATCACTGTTCTTTTCCAAGAATCCTGCAAAACATTGAGTAAGGAGTGTTGGAATCAGCGGCTTTGCCGGAAAATGCAATTCCATCCCAACCGCTCGCAAAGGGAAATCCTAAAGACGATCTCACAGTGAGACCAGGCCTCAGCCTGGGCACTGGGTCAGCGGAGGCTGGATAACCCTTGGCTGTGGGACTCTCTGTGCCATGTGGGGTGCTGAGCAGCCTCCCTGGCCTCCACCACGAGGTGCCAGTGGCATCTTCTCCACTTGGGGTGAGGGCATAAGACGCTGGCCCTGGAGACCCCAGTTCTCAAGACAGACTGCTGTCACATTGTCACCCATTAAGAGGAGGCTTTGGCTGCCCTGGCCTGAGAAGCCCTTTGAGTCCCACCCTCTCCACAGACTGTCCCACCTGTTACCATTCTGCCCATTAAGTGAAGGATGTGGCCCTGGCCAGTGTTGCTCAGTGGTCAGCACATTAGCCCATGCACCAAAGGGTTGCAGGTTCACTCACCGCCCCTGATCATCTCTCACATCAATGTTTCTTTCTCTCTCTCTCTCTCTCTCTCTCTGGAAAGCAGTGGGAAAAATATTCTCGGGTGAGGCTTAACAAACAAAAAGGAGAGAGAGAGAGGATTTGGATGTCCTGGCCTGAGAAGCCCAAGGTCAGTGTGGCTGAGCAGAGGCTAGACAAGCACCTACCCAGAATGCCTCACTCACTCAGCACGGATGCAGTTAGTGCCTCGCAGGAGCCGGCATCGCTGCCAAGCCCACCACCACACCCTCCTTCTGTCTTCCTT